GCAGTGCCTGGTAATCAAAATCATTAATAGCTCTGTAGTAAAATCTAGGGAGATAATTTTAAGTAGCTTTACTCCTGTTCAGGTCAAGCTTTGCTGCTGAATGAGGGTCCACATCACACCTTCTGGTTTCAGAGCTTTTTGGGTTTTGCAGTTTTGGGTGAGGTCTGGCAGACCCTGGCTGTCTTCTATGGAGTACATGGGCCAGGATTGACAAATCCCAGGATTGGGATTTGTCAGAGATTTCAGATCCAGGGCCCCACAAGCATCCCATCTTTCATTCACCTGGGGATTACAATTCAACGTAGTCAACATTTGTTGAGGAGTTTCTGTGTGCCTGGCACTGTTCTAGATGCTGGAAGAGATTTAAAGGAGAATGAGATAGATCTCCGTATTAGTCAGCTTAAGTGGCCATAACAAAGTTCCACAGTCTAGGTGGCTTAAACAACAGACATTTTTTTTTCTCATAGTTCCGGAAGCTGGAAGATCAAGGTGTCCACAGAGTTGGTTTCTGGGAAGGCCTGTCTGCAGTCGTCTCGCAGTGTCTTCCTGTGGCCTTTTTGTGTGTTCAGGAGAGAATGCTTGTGTCTCCTCCTCTTCTTATAAGGACGCCAGCCCTTTGGAGGCCATTAAACATTCATTACCTTCCTGAAGTCCCTATCTACAAATACAGTCACATGGCAGGCAGGGCTTCAGAAGATGAATTTTGGGAAGATAAGCTTAGTTCCTAGTACACATTCCCTCTGACAGCTCATGGTCTAGTAGTGGGTGCAGGTCAGATCCCAGCTGATCTGACTGAAAAGTGAAAGAGATGGAGAGAGCAGTGTGGCAGGCAGCCCTAGGGATGTCTGGGTAGCCTGAGTAGAGCTCTCGGGAGAGGAAAGGCTAGAATCCACCGGGGGCTGCAGGAGGGAGACAGCACTCTCAGTGAAGGTGTAGCTTCGGGGAAATGGTGGGCCTGTCTGTTAGGGGACCAGCGACTGTCAGTTCAGCATAACTGCAAACGGGCTGCTCAGAGTATCATAAAAATGAGCTAAAAGTGGCCCCTGTGCATTGGCACTGAGGCTGTTTATTTCTTTACTGCAGGCTGAGACCCACTATATCAAAAACCCGCTGACACCATATGCAAATGTTGACACATCCGATTATTTTAAATATAGCCCAATCAAGCAAATGTTTAGCCATCTAGAGCCTGCCTGCTTTGCATTCCCCATGCAACTTCACCCCGCAGGTCTCCTGTTGATAAGACAGGCCCTGGCAGTAGTGAGGTCCCGGACTGTGTGGCCCTGGGAGCTCTGAACCCAGAGATGCCCCACCGGGCTGCCTGGTGATCCCCCTGTCTCCAGGAACTCCCCTGTCCTCCTCCCCTTCTGGATGGTGGCCCCCTCATCTCCACAAGCCTCTGGGGCTTGTGTAAGGTTGAAGCGTGAGAAATTTTGCCCCTTTCTGTCTTATGGTCATTGAGTAAAGATCCCTCTTTTGACCAATAGGTCTTCCTCTGTCTCTCTGCCGGGCTTAGAGGAATTTGAAGCTGATCAAGGAGAAAGATACGACCACAAGGTGGCAGCAGCACACACAGGTGCTAAATAGAGCTTTGGACACCGTGGTTTAGGAGGGAATCCCTCACAGCCTCTGTAAGCCTCCTCACCTGGTGTGGGGGGTCAGTGCCCCTTGAGACAACCCTTGACCAAAGGAGTCAAGGGTGAGGAGATCAATGCCCAGCCTCCACCCCTGTGCACTTCAAATCTGAGAGGCTTTCTAGACAGTTCCTCAGCAGGTCTCCAGGTACCATGAGACCCAGTTACCTGCAGTGATAACCACTCTGTAACACATTCTTGCCATGGTTCTCTGATTTCAGGAGAACCAAACCCAAGATGGTTTCTCATTTGTAAAGGGAAGGATTTGAACTAGACACCCTCTCAGGTCCTTTTCAGGTCTAGAAGTACCTCAGTTTTTAGGCAAGAAAAACGAATCCCAGAAAGCCCAACCTGAAATCACACACGTGGGGCAAGAACCTAGACTGAAACTGTCTCACTATGTCCATTTTCCCAAAACTGTATCTACAAAGTCATTTCAAATAAAGGGCTCACATAGCAGTGCTTGGAAGCACTAAGCTAATAACCCTCATCTTCTACCCAAAACACATGTCTTAGCACTTTATAGGAAAACAATTGACATTTGGAGGCAGTTTAGGCTCTCAGAACCTGTCCAGCTGACAGCTTCACAAGAGGCATAAATGGAATCACGTCTTTTTGTTGTTCCCTGCACTAACTACAATAAAATACCCTTTTCAAGTTATCTCAGGGGCCGTTCTAGAGAGGCAGCTATTCTTTTTATTAGATGAAATTTTCAGCTATATTCTGAGAGGCTGTTTGCCCCGTTTATACAAGGTAATGAAAACATCAGAAGGATGGTTTATAGAAGGAAAAATATTCATGCCTGTGTGTAATTTATGGAATGCACATGCATTGGTGTATTTGACAGATCTGCACTAAATGCTATGTTAGCAAACATAAAGGTTTGGATAGAGACCATAAAATGATGGCAATGGAGTGAAAATGCCAACAGCATTGCTAAAAAGCAAGGCTTAAAGGGCATATTGATCGATTAAGAGTACTTTGATACCAAATTAGATTTTGGTAAGAAATAATGATCATATGTGATGGAAACAGTACCAAACCAAGAGACAGAAGATTTCTTTGGGCTTCTGTTTCTTGCAAAGTCAAGAAACTAACTTAAAATATTTGTGATGGGTTTTTAAGCTCTACAGATCTACAGTTCATTTATTTTACCTGTACTATCTGTTGTGGGGAGGTGGTAAAGTGGAGTGGCTAAAAGCACAGACTCTATAATCAGACTGGGTTCAAATACCAGCACTATCACTTACTAAATGGCGTATTTTCTTTTCTTTTCTTTTTTTTTTTTTTTTTTTTGAGACCAAGTCTTGCTCTTGTTGCCCAGGCTGGAGTTCAACGGCGCAACCTCGGCTCACTGCAACCTCCACCTCTGGGGTTCAAGCGATTCTCCTGCCTCAGCCTGTTGAGTAGCTGGGACTTCAGGTGCCTGCCACCACACCCGGCCAATTTTTGTATTGTTAGTAGAGAACAGGTTTCACCGGGTTGGCCAGCCTGGTCTTGAACTCCTGACCTAAGGTTATCTACCTGCCTCAGCCTCCCAAAGTGCTGGGATTACAGATGTGAGCCACTGTGCCCAGCCTAAATAATGCATTTTCAAACACCAACAACCAACTCTGTGATTCTCTTGATACCAACTGAGTATCCAACAATTCAAGGGTCCAGTCCCACAAGACTGCCTCCATTCAGAAACCAGTGTGGAGTCCTGGACCACCCATACTTCAGACTGACTGGTTATAAATCAGGGATTCCCATGACCTACTCTTTAGGTTCCACAGTTTGCTAGGATGGCTAACAGAACTTAGAAACATACTTTACTTGCATTGACTGGTTTATTATGAAGGATGCAACTCAGCTTTAAACAAATGGAGGAGATGCATAGGGCAAGGTATGGGGTGGGGGGTACAGAGCTTCTCTTCCCTCTCTGGGCACTTGTCCCTCAAAGCACCTCAATGTGTTCACCAATCTGAAAGCTCTCTGAACATTATTGTTCAAGAGTTTTGAACAGAATTGAATCTCCCATCCCCACCCTCCCATTCCTCCCCTTCAAGGAGGTCAGTGAGCAGGACTAAAAGTTTCAGCCCTCTGTTCACTTGGTCTTTGTGGTGACCAGCATCTTCCTGAAGCTTTCTTAGAAAGGGATAAGGCCCTTAGAAAATTAGCATTAACATAAACTCAAGTGTGGTCCAAAGGGGCTGCTTAGGAAAAGCAAGAGACCTCTATCACGTAGGAAATTACAAGGGTTTTAGGAACTCTGTGCTGGAAACTAGAGACAAAGACCAAAAAAAAAAACCTTTTTCAGAGGCAGTGTCTTGCTCTGTCGCCCAGACTGGAGTGCAGCGGCAACATCAAATCTCACTAGAGCCTTATCCTCCTGGGCTCAAGTGATCCTTCCATCTTAGCCTCCCAAGTAGCTGAGACTTGTATCCAGACTATATAAAGAACTCCTCCAACTCAGTAATAAGAAGACGATCCAATTAGAAAATGGGGGGAAAGATCTAAATAAACACTTCACAGAATGAGACACATGATGGGCTAAGAAGCTCATGAAAAAATGCTCAACATCATTAGTCATTAGGAAAATGCAAATTAAAACCACAACAAGATACTTTCCACAGTCAATAGAATTGCTATTACAAGTGCTGACAAGGATGTGGGGAAACTGGAAACTTCATACGTTGCAACGGGAATGTGATATGACAGTGTCACTTGAAACAGCTTGGCAACTTAAGCGAAAAACACTGTAAGACCTAGCAATTCCATTCTTAGGTATCTAAACTATCTAAAGGTATCTCATCTAAAGAGAAATGAAAGTGTAGGTTCACACCAAGACTTGTATGTGCATGTTCATAGCAGCCAAAGCTTAGAAATAATGAAAATGTCCCTGAACTAGTGAATGGATATATAAAATGTGGCATATTCATACATACAAAAGAATACTACAGAAATCAAAAGGAATCAGCTACAGATGCATCCAGTATCATGGATGAACCTCAAAAACATGGTAACTGAAAGGCAAACATGAAAGAGTACACGTTGAATGATTCTATTAAGATGAAATTTCAAGAAAAGACAACTATGGACACACAAGTTGGTCAGTGTTTGTTTGCCACTGGGTAAAGATGGATTTACATCTAAAGATGCAAACATGCACAAGAAAACTTTTTGGGATAATGGAAGCTTTCTAAAACTAGATTGTGGTGGTGATTGCAAAGCTCTAAATTTGTCAAGAATCACTTTATAAATCACTCATAATGGGTAGACTTTACAGTATGGAAAGTGAACCTCAATATAATTTTTAAAAATTGGTCTGAAATAATAAATTTAAGTTGTCTAGAATTTTTGCATAAAACATTGGCCGAGCTACTAGAAATAAGCATGATTTTATTGAGAAAATAATATCCTGCAGAAAGCTTCTCTGAATATCCCACTGAGAGGATGTAATGAATCTTATGAATATGCAGAAGAAAGACAAGCATTTACCAAAAGGTGTTAATAGGTTAAATTTTTTTAAAAAGTGTTTCAGGATTAAGTAAGTATGAGTAACAGAGGACTAAACAAAGGTAACTACATTTCATTACTTTACGGTTTTCCAGAATTTTAAAATATTTCATTGTGTCTAATGACTCTTTAGGAAAATGATGTAGATTTCAGACCTTTCCAGATTTGTTTTTCACAAAAACTTGTATAATACAAAACATATTTTGACATATGAAAAACATTTTGCAGTGCAGAGGTAGAATTACCAAATAGAATACTGACCAGAATTATCCAGTAACTTGTTCATTTCTTTGACTTCATTTGGCTAACATCTCCAGGTTCACAGCTTGAGAGATATGTCAACCCCCACCACAGGGGCAGTTTACTAGTTTGTTGCTCAGACCAAAAATTTGGAGTTCTATTTATGACTTTCTTTCAAACCCTACACTCAACATACACATCCATCAGCACATCTAGTTGGCTCTGCCTTTAAAATAGAATCTGACCTCTCTCACATGCTCAAGATAAAACCCTGTATTAGTTTTTATTGCTGCCTAATAATATACCCCAAAACCTAGTAGCTTAAAACACAATAAACATTTGTTATTCCTCAATTTCTGTGAGTTGGGAATCAGGCATAGCTTGGCTGAGGGGTCTGGCTCAGAGTCTCTTAATGAAATTGCAGTCAAGTCATCAGCCAGGGCTGTAGTCATCTGAATGTCTAACTGGTGCAGGGGCTAGAGGATCTTCTGAGTTAAGCGCAATTTCCAGGCAATAGGTGTTAAGTGCCATTTGCGGTTGATGGCATTTAACACCTATTGCCTGTTTCCCTCCACTAATATGTAAGCTCAACAAGACCAAGGGGTATGTTTTGTTTTTGCTGTAGTCTCAGGATCTAGAATAGTGCCTGGCACATGGGAGGCACTCTGAAAATATTTGTTTAATGACTAAATAGGTGGGTTAATGAAAGTGGCTGTTAATCCCAGTTCTGCCTGCAAAAATGCTCTCTTAACACTGAATTATGTACATGAGTGAGAAGAGAAAGGAAGGAAGAAGAAATGGGCATATGAGTAGATAGATGTCAGCAAATGTAGCTAGAAATAAGTGAGAAAAAAAGGAGGCAAAGGTGGCAGGAAAATAACAACATGATATGAAGTATATCATTTGGATTTGCAAGCCTGTGAATTCCAAAAAAGGCACTGGTTTACTTGAAGGAAGATAATTATGTTCAATTAATTACATAAACTCAGGGAAAAAGAAAGAACAGCTAATCCATGAGTTAAAAGAAACATACAAGCATACTGTAGTTAAGGATATTAAAAGACCAAGAAAAGGTGTATTAATGCTCATGGAACTATGGTGGAAGCTCACTGGGGCATGCCTTCCGCATGGGATGAATGTTTTGAGGCAGCACTTGATGGGTGGACAGGATCTCCTGGATTTTGTCCAAACAGATCTTGTTTGCTGCTATCCCTGCTTCAAACTCTCGGCGTTTCTCTTCCTTCTCTGCTTCTTGGGACTGCTGCTGGTAGGCAATTTGCATCTGAAGTTGCTTCCTGTACTCCTGGGCTAAACGTTGGCGTCTAAAATATTAGAAATGTCAAAGTATAAAATTATAAAATCATTTGGATTTATTTAGAGCGTTACAATTAAAATATAATTTGTAAAGTCAAATTAAAATTCCCATTAAAATCCGAGTGAGCAGAGAATAGATGAGAAACTCAATAATGAGTTTCTTACACAATAATTATTAATATAATCCTAGAACAAATATTGATTATAGGGAGGAAATGCTTCTTCTCTGCCCACAATGTTCACTGCTATGTGGGAATAGTCCCTGGTTTGCCTCCATCCCTTCCCTTACTCTTCTCTATGGGTAAAATTGGAGAAGATAAACAAACTGCTCAATTTAGCTTGTCCCCTTTCATTTTGGAGGCTGCTACCCCTGTTTTCTGCTGTGCTCCAGATCAAAGAGCCACATCCCTTCTCATGCTGCTGGGGACTGGGAGGGTGGGTTAGCTTCATCCTATCATTCTGTTCGGTATTAACTAGACAATTTCTTGCATATATAAGCCACATTTTAAATATGTGACAGTTTTGATTTATAGTATAATTTTTATTGTAATCACACATTATGGCCAGGTACAGTGGCTCACACCTATAATCCCAGCACTTTAGGAGGCTGAGGCGGGTGGATCACCTGAGGTTGGGAGTTCAAGACCAGCCTGACCAACATGGAGAAACCCCATCTCTACTAAAAATACAAAAATTAGCCAGGCATGGTGGTGCATGCCTGTAATCCCAGCTACTTGGGAGACTGGGGTAGGAGAATCACTTGAAACCAGGAGGCAGAGGTTGTGGTGAGCCAAGATCACTCCATTGCACTCCAGCCTGGACAACAAGAGTGATACTACGTCTCAAAAAAAAAATAAAATTACATAGGTCGTACATGTAATAATCCCAGCACCTTAGGAGGCCAAGGCAGGAGGCATGTGCTTGTGGGTGGATTGTCTAAGCCCAGGAGGTTGAGGTTTTTCAGTGAGCTGTGATCACACCACTGCACCCCAACCTGGGCAATAGAGCAACACCTTGTCAATAAACAAAAACAAATACAAAACCACAAAAAAATTTACATCTTAATAATTTTTAAATGTACAGTTCAGTAGTTAAGTCTCTTCATATTGTTGTTAAAGGGATCTCCAGAACATTTCCATCTTGCATATCTGAAATTCCCCTCTCCTCTTTACTCCCCACAACCCTTGGTAACCACCATTCTACTTTATGTTTCTATAAATCTGACTATTTTATGTATCTCATAAAAGTAGAATCATACAGTATTTGTCCTTTGGTGATTAGCTTATTTCACTTAGCATAACGTCCTCAAGGTTCAACCATACTATGGCATGTGACAGTATTTCCTTGCTTTTGAAGGCTGAATAATATTCCATCATACATATATATCATGTTCTGTTTATTCATTTCATTGATAACAAAAGACACTTTTATCACTCAGGAAATTACAGGAGTTGTAGGAGCTCTGTGCCAAGAACTAGGAACAAAGATCAAATATAATTATCATTATACCACAGCTGATATTAAAAATGTGGCTTATATTTCTAGCCACTGAATTGATATTTGGGTTGCTTCTACCTCTTGAATACTGTGAATAGTGCTATGAATATTTCTGTGCAAATATCTCTTCGAGACCCTGCTTTAAATTTTTTGAATATATACCCTGAAGTGTGATTGCTCGATTATGTAGTAGTCTTACTATTACTTTTTTGTAGGAACCCCCATACTGTTTTCCATAATGGTTATATAATTTTACAATTTTAAACAGGGTCTCACTCTATCACCCAGGCTGGAGCGCACTACTGGCACAATCACACAATCATGGCTCACTGCAGCCTCAAACTCCAAGGTTCAGGTGATCCTCCCACCTTAGTATCCCAGGTATCTGGGACTACAGGTGCACACCACCACACTCAGCTAATTTTTTTTTTTTTTTTTTGGTATTTTTTTAGAGACAGGGTTACACCATGTTGCACAGGCTGGTCTCAAACTCCTGGGCTCAAGAGATCCACATGCCTTGGCCTCCTGAAGTGGTTAGATTGCAGGTGTGAGCCACCATGCCTGGCCTCTTTGTAGTTTCAGTGGCTAGAAATATAAGCCACATTTTAAATATCAGCTGTGGTATAATGGGAATTATGTTTGATCTTTGTTCCTAGTTCTTGGCACAGAGCTCCTACAACTCCTGTAATTTCCTGAGTGCTAAAAATATGTTTTGTTATTCATAGGAACACCTCACTTTATGCTAATAAGCTGGCTTAGAGTAGGGCCCCTGGGTAGCGTCAGGATGGGGTTGGTCACGAGATAGACCAACTGATGAGGGAGTTAGGACTTTCAGCCCCACCCACTGACCTCTTGGGAGGAGAAGGTGGGGGCTGGAGATGAAGTTCTAAAAACTCTTGAACAAGGGTGTTCTGAGAGCATCTGTGATGGTGATACATGGAGGTGCTAAAACGATGGTGCACCTGCGGAGAGCATGGAACCCCCTATGCTCCTCTTCCACTTGGCTGTTCCTGAATTGTGCCTTTGTGATAAACTGGTAAACATTAAGTCAAATGTGTTCCTGCTTTCTGTGAGCAATTCTAACAAACTGTTGAACCTGAAGAGGAGGTCGTGGGAACTCCCAATTTATAGCTGGTTGATCAGAAGGTGGTCTGGGACTAGCATCTGGTGTCTGAAATGGGAGCAGTTTTGTGGGACTAAGCCCTTACCCTGAGGGGTCTGTACTAACTCTGGGTAGTTACTATCAGAATTGAGTTTAATTCTTAGATGCTCAGTTGGTGTCTGGAGAATCAGAGAATTTGTTGTTGATTTCAGAAAACACTCCATTAACTTTTATTAGAAATAAAGATAATGGTTTGGATACCTCTCTATGGCAGATTCTATTTTCCAAAGATGGCCATAGTACCTATCTCCCTTCTCGTATGTGTACTCCTAATTAGGGAAAAGGAGTCAGGCTGGTGGAACCAGGAGAAAGCAAAGAGATAAAGCAGATAAGCTATAGGTCTGCCTCTGTTCATGGCCCAGGACATAGAGCCCTCCTGTGCAGATAACATAGAAAACTCACAAACTTTCTACTTATCATCAAATGCTTCGATTCATCATCAAACATCTCAGCTGAGAGAAGAATGCAGGTTAGCTCCCTGCTACCTTGGTGTTAGCAAGAAGCCCAAGAACCATCCTATAAAATCTCCAGCAAGTGTTTGTTTCCTGGCAGTCAGTTCCTCTCTTGCTGGCTGCCCATTGCTTTCTTGCACTGAATTTTCCTACTTTCTCTAATAAATCTGCCTTTATTTACCTACAACTGTCTTGGTAAATTCTTTTACCCTTGCACCACTGGCCCAGATAGTCACTGCTCACCCACAACAGTTTAGTGGCCTATATAGGGAACTCTCTCCATACAAGAAACTCTCTCCTTATGGGGAACCCTCTGCCCTCCCTCTTTCCCTTTCCCAACTTAGGACCCTCAGTGGACAGCATCTACACAGAGAGAGAATTGTAAGTCTCTACCCGACACTACCTACACTCCAGTGGGACTAAAAGGTGTCCATGTGGAAGTGTCTAACCACCATTGCCTGTTCAGGTGAGGGACCTGAGTTTACTTTCTTTTTTCAGTCTTTTAGCAGTTGGCTTTTAGTATCTCTTTGGCAATTGACAAATTGGCTGTGGTCAATATCTGGTGTTGCCTGAAGGCCAAATAGCCACCTGGCCTGAAATAGAGGAAGGTTTTCTCCTGTGTTCTCTGATCACAAGTCCCTAATCCCTATGTGTGATGCGACTGGCAGCAGAAGCTCATTCAGAGCAAATTCACACGTTTTGGGTGACGTAGATCCTCTCTTTCTCACTCTAAATTCTCCTGTGGAGTCAGCCATCCATTCTGTTCCAGATGTTACTAAATCAGGTGATCTCAGCCTCAAAACTGTGAGTCTTCCCTTACCCACTACCTCTCCTGGGCTAGCACAGGCAGAGTCCTCCCTTCACCCATTTTCCTTGTACCAGGACTGACCATCCAGCTTAAGACCCCTGAGTGGCTGAGGGGACTTTTCTAATAGGTGGGACAGCCCTTTAGAAATTGCACCCCAAGTTCCTCAGCAGACCTAAGTGGAACCGTTTTTCATCTTGGCTGGATATCCTGAGAGAAAATGCAGTTTATGCATCTAAGTGGCACCATCCCCAAGCAGCATGTTTTCCAGTCTCGCCATGAGACAAACACATCTATTCCTTCAGACTCACCTCTGGGTTGTATCCTAAAACATTAAGACAAATTTAACCCTCAAACTCTCAAAAAGAAATGTCTAATTTCTTGTGTAACACACATGACCTCTATGTAGAAAATCATCAAATTAGCCTCCCAAGTTCTTTATAACTGACAGCAGAATAAGGAAGACAGGGCTAAAAAGAAAGAACAATGCAGAGGCAAGAAACAGGCTCAACTGTTGGCTGCCTTACAAGCCCCAGCCTCCTCCAGGTTTCCCTAAAACTACACTCCTCCAGATAACTGCCATTGGTGTTAAAGGCCAGGCTACCTAAAGGCAGAGTGCCCCAGTGGAATAAATTTTAAAAGCCCTGCATGGCTTGCTGTCTGTGCCACAAGCTCAGCCACTGGGAAAAGGACTGCACTGATTGATGATCAAAGGGCGCCCAGGACAGAATCTCAACCCCAATGGCCTTATGCTAAAGAGGCTCTCTGCTCCATCTGGCAACAGCTCATCTTAACTGATAACTTGCAAGGGTGGGAATAATTCATCCCACACCATGTAGGTCTGGGGTGCTAATGCTCTCCCTGACAGGATATAAACAAAACTGGTAGTAGTACTGACCCTGCACTGCAGTGGTTGGAAGGCTCACAAGCCCTCATGCAAAGCCTAACCATTTCCTCTCCATTCCTTCCTTTTCTTTTTCTCTTTTTCTGTTCAATCCAGGGGATTAGACTTAAAAGGGAAAGACAGTTTCTAACATCCTAACCCCTGATTTTGTCATTCTCTTTAAAACTCCAGCTGGTTACATATTATTG